AAAGATGATGGGGAGAGTTGTGAATAGAGAGTGAAGTGTTGAGAGTGAGACAATATGGATATAGGCCATTTCTCACATGGGTTCAGGTGTCTGTCAACTACAGTAGCAACGAGCTAACTTAGTGGCACACAACGTGCCCTACTAACAACCTTTAATATCATTCGCGATATAGCATAATGCTTTTTGAGTGGCTCATGAAATATAAACGTAACCTGCTAAAGTGTCTGGTTCATGGAGCTAGGTTAATCTATTCAGAAGACTGCCTCAATGAGGAGCTTAAGATTATTGAAGAATTATTCAGAAAAAATGGTTATCTAGATAAGTTCATTGAGAAAAACATGAATTCAGCACCTAGGAGAGTCAGATTGGCAACAGTTCCGAAAAAACCAATGTTCATAAAATGTAGTTCCTCGGTGACAACATCAGCGAAATAATAACACAGCGCCTGAAAAATGCAGTTTAAATAGCTTTGAATGCAGCAGAGGTACGTTGTCTCTTCACAACCACCCGAATTCTACGTTCGAAAAATAAGGATAAACTACCTAAATTTGCCTCCTTTATGTGTATCTACCAGTTTGACTGCAGCTGCGGAGCCAGCTACATTGGGCGTACATTTAGGCAGGTTCATCATCGTATTTCCAAACATCATCCAGCATGGTTAAGCAAGGAACAGACAAGATTTATTCTTAGCTCTATTTTAGCACACCTTGTAGATAGTGAGCATAAGAGTGACGTTAATACAGCATTTAAAATTATTTATCGCATTCCTACTAATCTTAATTTTGCTTTACGAGTTCGTCTTCTACATACTACAGATGAAGCCATAGGAATCCACCTGAAGAAGCTAAACCTGTATGTTCATAAGAAATTTGTACAGCCACTTTCCTTACCTTAGACATCGTTACATGAATGTATAAACCGGACTACTTCGCCCCCGTCCCTCTAAACCTTTAAAAATTATAAAAATTATAATTGTCCAAATTATTTTATTAGTTTCTGACTACTTCATCAACAATCTGTTACGTAATCAACCTGTGCACACGCTTATTCCTTAATTCCTCTTCATTTTTCCGAAATTATGCATTACGCAATCCTCGTGTTGCAACCGTTTCTACATTTTAATTGTGTGTATCAATTTTCTTCGTTAATTATCACCCCATTGACATGTTGACACTGACTAATTATTGTTAACAAACATATCACCACTTGATTAGTAAACTGTTGTGTATTGTAATAAAAATGCTATATGTATATTAGAGTAGAGCCAGAGATGAGGATCTAATTGAAAAGTATATATTTCTTCGCTCAGTCCTTCTGCTTTCTAAATGTCTAAATGGGGATTTTTTCAAAATTATAAAAAAACTCAGAAGCACATTGTGAGACACAAGGAAATAACTCAAGAACAGTTATCCCATGTGTTAGAATACCTTGCCCCACCCCCCTACGATTACGTATTTCCTCAAATTTAGTGGAAACATGAGAATCAACAGGTTATAAACAATTAAAATACTAGCAAGGGTAAATAATATCATTGAAGGGTCTATTTTAATCGATGAAAACAAAGTGAACAGGAAAAACTGTATGCAATCAAGGCGTGGAGGTTACTTTTGTGGTAGCCCAAGTCCTAAGCATGCCACCAGTAATCATTTCAGTTCAAGTTGCCACTATAATAGACAAGAATGTCTTTTGGAGAAAGAAGAATTGGATAAAGATTAGTAGGGATTCATGCAAGTGTAGAATTTGAGCAGGTTTTCATTAAGTCTTCATATGATCAAGACAGGAGCCTAATTGGTAAGCCAGAAGATGTAAATAATGAAATTGAGCAAATAAAGAAGCCACTACTAGTGAATAACTACCCACCAGATAATGTAGAATTCAAAGCCTCTATAGTACTGCTGTATTAGAGAAGGGATGTCAGAGGCCTCATGTAGAATTCTCAATGAGGCTGAAATTAGGATGTCATTTAAACCAACCAACCAACGCTCTCAGAGACAGATTATTTCAGCTTAAGAACCCGACAGATCCAATTTAAGAAAAACAATATAATTTACCAAACACCATGTAATGACTGTAAGTGAGGTCAATTAAACAACTAGTAGATCAGGGTCAATTAGATTATCAGGACATAGAAATGTAGCTAGCCTAGAACAATTGATCTTACTAAGTTTAATAACCTGGAAGACACTCAGCCACAAAAATACTTTAAATTGAATGTAATCAGACAATAGGTTGGATGGGACAGGGGTGGTTAGAGAGAGAAAGACGGGTTAATCACTGAATCTTAGTTTATCGATTCAACAGTGCATATGTGCAATCAAAATGAAACAACATCTATACCATACTTATATGCAGAAAGTTACTATTACCAATGACATAAGAGGGGTGGGGGGAGGGAGAAAAAATAAATAAAGCAAATCTTGAAACCATTTGGATAAACCGATATGATTGTGAGTAGTAATAAGTAGTGCTCAAAACACCGTCCAACATCCAGTTACTGAGTCTGTATCAGTTATCTAATATGAAATTAATAGGGATTTTCAGAATATGGATAGGGAAACGCAGCACACCCTGAAGATGTTGGTCATGTAATCTATACTTCCTCACTTTTGGCTCATACCAACTCTTTGTGTATTGGTACCAACAGACTGAGTACTTTCAGTAGTAAGTAGTGTATTTTTTAATTCGACGCGAACTAGTGTGATGCGTCTAGCCCTTTCATTGGTGTGGACTGAATTCTATGAAATCGTGGAAAATACCCATCCGAACGTTGAGAAGAAAAGAACGAGAAGTCCGACAAAGATATCTCTTCGTCAACATCATTCTAAAACTGAGCTGTACAATTGCATTTATATACATAGACTGATACGCTTACAAGTATTATTTAATTCCGTATCGTAACGAAGGATATTAAAGTCGATAATAATTTTCAACTTGACATGAAAGTTAGACGGTGTGAGGTCTTGTTTTAAACGTGATTCTATCTACTGCGACCAGACGAAATTGTTGGGGTCTGAACGTAGGAAATCGATCAATACTTATTCATTTTAAGAGAGAAATTTTTTTTTTAAAAATCTGCAGTAATAGGTGGTTCTTTCTATTTCTTCTTTCATTTGAGTCTGTTCAAGATGAGCCATGAATATGTCAGCAAGAACAGGACCCAGAGGTGAACCAATAGGAACCCCGTCAATCTGCCGGTACAGCTGATTGTTGAGTCGGAAGTGAATATTCTTTGTACATAGAAATAACATTTTGCGTAGCTCATTTTCTAGAAGAGGGAGCAGTTCGGACTGCTGGCATATGATTTTTACCGTTTTTTCGATGGGTATGCTGGTAAACAGTGAACAAAAGTCGTATGACACGAGAAGTCTATCTGAAATATCGAGTTGATCTAATTCTTGTGAAAACTGGAAGGAATCTTTGATAAAGGGAACCGGTTGCATAAAATTATTCATTTTAGTTTTTATTTATTTTATTATAGCTTGATTCTACACAGTATTTTGTTACAAGTATGAAATTTTCAGCATGTGATATCGGCAGCCCAAATTTAGCAGGCCGACCATAGAGATCAGGTGTGTGCCGGTGTAGCTGTCCGAAACCTCCTTGAGACACGCGCATTCACAAAACGGTTCAAAGACACCAAAAATATTGATTATTCGTGGTTGGAATCTACGCGTGTGGTTCTGTTGTTCTATTCAACAATAATAACATCAAAAACTCAAAATCACCTCAACAGTGCTGTCAGGCAGCTAGACAGTCAATTAGAATTTTCCCAACAAGGTGGGATTAAAGACTGTCTATCCACAAGAATCACATGTTGGTGCATCCCACAGACAATCCTAGGTAAGAATCACCATCATTCACTCACACAAAATCCCATCCCTTATACTAACTGGATTCACTCTACTTTATCCACTATCCGACTATGAATTTTGTAATACAAATCGGACTTTAATCAACGTACACTTAGAACTAGACAGTTAAACGGGGTACCATTCAAAGATCAATTAAACAACTACTATTTAATTCCGTATCATAACTAAGGAGATTAAAGTCGATAATAATTTTTAACTTCAGATGAAAGTTCCATGGTGTGAATGTAGATTCTAAGGGGTTTAGAAAAATTAGTTGACTAAAATTGATTGAGAGATAGCAGTTTTTATTACTCAAATAATAATTGTCAACTTGATATAAAAGTTCTAGGATATGAATATAAATTACCAGGGGCTTAGAAACAAAATTACACAGGATTAGAAAATATTTTTCAACAAATAATGGCGTGAATGTGATGAGCATGGAAACAAAGTGAAATAATAATACTTTATAAGTGAAAATGAAAAAAACCAGACCTTAGGAAATAAACCGAACTAGATCCGAGGTAAGTGTAGAGGTTGGACTAGTTTCTTTTGACACACAGTTCCAGCTTTTCGATGTATATGTCAAGGGCTTCTACAGTACAAAGAAGTCAGAAACACACTGACTGCCTTTGGTAGATTTTTGTTTACTTTGTAAATGACTTTGATTGATGAGTCATTTGAGATGCTGTGATAAGAGTTTGAAAGCTTTGTTTGTAATCTACATTCACGCCTTTAAACTTTGATATCAAGTTGAAAATTATTATCAACATTATTCTCCTTCGTTATGATACGTAAATAAATAATAATTGTAACCATATGAACTTATGTATTTAAATGCGATTGTACAGATGATCTTGTTATTATTATTAGGTGGTTGGGGGGGCAGTCGACCACAGGAAGCCTTATTTAACCTAGTTTTCGTGCTTTTTAGTGGCACTCACAAGTCATCTTCAAGGCGTGTATCAGCAGTCTCGAAGGAACTCATGTCGCTGCCTCCAAGATTCAAACTCGCGTCACCTAATGCTGTAGTCAGAGACGTTACCACTGAGGATTTAAAAATTTGACATTTATACATGTAAATACTCACAGAAACATAGAATATCAACAATATAACTCAAATATATACATTTTCAATGGATTACTCACCTATTCAGTGTTATTCCAGGAGAACTGCATACATTGTTTTTGAAAATTCACTTATCAATAAGTTAGTCATCAGTAAATCAATGCGTAATTCGAAAATAATCATGTTCAATAAATGAGAAGAATGTGGATGATACTAGATAGTACATCTTTTAAATGTATTCCATACGAAAGTCCTTCATTTTCGCCTTCATTTAAAGTCTATTTTGGGTGTTTTTCTTCACACAAGAAATTTCTAACGTTACTGTCTTAGCTTGTGTTTCAATTTCACTTTATGAGATTGATAATTTTAGTTGAAATGCTTAACCTTTTCCAATTATTGGTTCACATTTATCATAATTTAAATAAATAAATAAATATATACATGTATAAATATCTTTATGTCAATTGGAAATATTGAAAGTGCTGCTTTTCTGATTGGTCGAAATGAATTGACCAATCAGATAATTTGCTTTTATTTGTGTTACTTACTTAACTTACATAAGCTGGTTTTGTTTTCTCATGCGGCCATTATGAAACGCATGAAGGCATTTCACTAAAGACTCTTTTATTTTTTTAACATATATGTTTTCGTTTCTATGACTTCTTAGTTGATTTCTACATAGCTACATAAAAAAATGATGCAAGTGTATCCATTTTTCTAAAAAGGCATGGTTAAACATGCTTTCGTAGAACATAATAGGAGTTGCTTATAATTTTTGTTGTTGTTAATTTCTTTAGATTGTAACAATTATAATTGATTGATTGATTGATCGATTTACTGACTGACCAACTGACTGACTGAGTGACTAGCATCGATTGTTGTGGTAAATTTATACATTCTGACGATTAATCATTCATTTACAACTACCACAAGAATAAATGTGTTTATATTGCCTAAAAATAGTGAAATGAGCGCTTACTTTTCAGGAGTTAATTTGTAGGTATTTGATTTGTTTGAAGTTTGACTACGGATCGGTGATATTAGTTAGAGAACCAGTGAACACCAGGAGGGAGTACTGGACAGCGATTTCTTTGATAGCATGCACCTACTGACGGCAAGTTTGTTGACCATTCAGTCACTGAGATTCGACTCAGTGGCCTATGAATTCCGGCTATTTCTTGCCGATGGTATTGGCTGGTGCCAGCTGCTCTAAAATCACAAATTGGTGGAAATTAGAAATGATGGAGAAGCCACTGAGTTAGGACTCGGTGGCTGAATGGTCTACAGGCTTGACTTGTAACCAGAAGCCCCTGGGTTCGAACCCGGTGCTATTAGAAGGTCTCCTCAGTAGTGTGTATCCAATCCACCTCCATTTTCTTCCGCATATTTTTTGAGGAATAGATTCTTGATTAGTTCGATCCCAGAATTTAATATTGTTAAGTATTTCTTACAGTCTATATGATCTTCAATCTGCAACCAGAGAAGTCAGATGTCGATAAACTTCTGCTGTAGACTGTTTGAAATAATTCTGGTGACTCACGCATCAAGTTTCCCAACTAGATGGAAAGACAAATTGATTTAACATTGACGGTAAGAATCCGAATCTTGTTCCGTAAACTGACGGATTACAGAAGACGTTCAAATTGATTTCAGAGTAATGCGGGTCTGATTTGCCTTTCGCATCCTGCCTGGATTTGAAGTCTTCATTTTTGTCGGCACCTCTAGTTGAGACAAAGCTTCCTAGATAAGCGAAGCGAGTGATCTTACTCAAATCCCCTCCTTCTGACTGACTGATGATTGGTGCTTGTTGTTCTCCCTATTTCCACCTGAAGTCCTCTCTTTGCTGCCTGCCTCTTATGCCTGTTTGTTGGTTTTCACCTGTAAGTCTTCTAGATTGTGTAACAATGAACATCAGTCATCGGCGAAATCCAGGTCCTCTTTTAGAGTTTCCTTATCGGTCCAGCGTATTCCTGTCCTCTCACTCCCTACAGTCTGACGCATAATCCAGTCAACCACAATTAAGAATATCATTGATATAAGAATATCATTGATATATAAGAATATCATCTGTGATAATAGGAAGCCTTTTCTTACTCCGTTCTGTCTTCACTCTGAAAGCCTCACTGAGATTTCATTGTGGATCACTTGACACGTGGCAGTGTCATACAGCTATTGAATGCGGCTGGTGAAGTAGTTTCCAAATTACTTCTCTGTTAACGCGGTCGAAGCACTTTCTAAGTCAATGAAGTTGAGGTGGAGATAGATTTGACTGCCATTCTATGCTTTGTTCTATGATGATACGTACAGATGCAATTTGATCAGCACAGGATTTACTTTTTCTGAATCCAGCTGGTTTCGGTGAGTGGAGCTCTCCATCCAGTGAATCTTTCATTCTCCCAAACATGACACAACTTGTTTGGCGTGGACAAGAGCATGATTCTTCGCCTGTCCTCCTCTTGTTGGAAGAGTGGTATTCACTTCCAATTCCGTGGCCGCTATCTGTGTCGTTTTTGGACGAGCCGCAGGTGGTGGTCAACTAAATAAACCTTTGAGGTGATCAGCCCACTGTTTTATTTGTCTCTCTTCGTTTCTAATTAGGTTTCCTCTACCACTTTTTCTTGGTATTGTCTGCATTGATCTTTTCCTGAATAGAGACCTGGCTGTCTCATATGATGTTCTGGGGTCTAAATCACCTGCGGCCTGTTCCGTTTCATTTGCCATTATGTCATTGGATTGTATTTCATCTTTCGTCCCTCTCTTCTTCACTGCTTTATTCAGTCTGGTCACACAAGGAAGGTTTGTCAACTATCTTCAGCTGTTTGGCATGATGCTGCTGAATTCCTATGAAAGGTATACATGACGCCAAGGGTTCTACAGCTAATCTTCACTAATGCTCAAAAAATCACTTATTTTCGTAAAAACATAATCAAAACAGGATTTTCAGGCTTTCGAAATTCATTAAAATTCCCAAAAAACATACCCAAAGGCAACGTAGTTTACATGAAGTATGAGATAGGTAATTTGTGTTTCGTTGTTTTTATGCTGTGGAGTAACTGAGTTATTAAATTGCTGAAATTCATCACCAAGACGTATGTAACATTTCCATACGAAGGTTGTTCCTTGCTAAAATGTGTTACTACCAGAAACGACTAGTCGTGATATGAACTCAGGAAACAGATCTATGCATTATACTGCACAGCTGTCTGAATCTTCGTCAAGACACTGTCACAATCACAAAGCGCTAAACAAACATCAAGAAACATGACTGTTTACATTTTGAATCACTACGCCAGTCTACACTATTGCTCAACAATAATAATATCAAAAAGTCAAAATCACCTCAACCATGACATACGTCATGACACAACAATGACATCACCGAGCTATACAGTCATGAGAACGTTCTAAGCAATAAACAAGTATTGTAGAACAAAATAAGCTAGAGGAAATTCAACTGAAAGAAGTTATTTGGAATCATGAAGCATACTTATAACAAGGTGGGATCATAATCTCTCCACGAGAATCACACAACAACGCTTCCCGCAGATAGTCCAACGTCAGAATCACCTTCATTCATTCAATAGAAACCACATCGCCAAACAACACATTATCAAATTCATCATCATAACACAACCACAAAGAGAGGCATTATACTTAGAGATAAAACAGGCATAAAGACGAATAATAATTCAAAGTTAGCTGAAACATCCAAATAAGTATCAATAGTGTGATCATATTGTTCATGAGGAGCGATTTTCATAACAGTATTTCCGCTGCAGAATGCTCGCCAGCCATCCACATAGGGTATTTTGGATTCACAGAGGACACACTCCAAAGATCTCATGTAATTTGTCAATCTCCATTAAATTCAGAAACGAAAAAAGCTTGCGTGTGTGGGTACGCAAACCCCAACCTGTGAGAATAAAAATGTCGCCACTCAAACGTTGAAGTAAGAAGCCATTCGTTCCACTAAGAATGCAGAGAAATAAGCAGCTTTAGGGCTTGTTATGTCATCTCACAGACGCGTATGTGCATGTATGTTGGCTCACTGACGTTCACGTCATCAACGAGTGTCCCTGGATGTGTGTTAAGATATTATAAGTATATATACATATGCAAATTATGAATATATGATTCAGCAAAGAGATCTCTCTGCGTGCGTTACTTCCCTTCAGAGACCTACAGGTGTTTAGATGGTGTTGCATATGCATTGCAGATTGACAACAGACGTCAGAGATCATTGTCAGTCAGTGACAAAACAAATCTAAGTACATGAATGACATCTGTGTTTGTAAAATCAAGAATAGTACTTTAAAATCAAGAGGGTCGACAATTCGTAAGTTGAGTGGCGAATATTCGGATGGAAATAGTCAATAGGAGACAAGAGAACAAAATATTGAAATTTAGTTGCAAATGACATAGAACAGGCCACATAAAGCTCACTACGCAATTTTTAGGAAGACAAACAAGCGAGAAAACGGATGAAGGAAACATTGATGCTAAGGCCATGGTATTGGAAGTGACTGGATCACATGTTTCGGAAAACAGAAGTCAAGCTGCCCATAGGATTGCTAAGCCTTTCACCACATGAAGAAGATGTAGATGAAATGCTTTCGAATAACTTGGTCGTAGTTTATATATGACTGTGAAAGTAGTCTCTGCTGACGCCGAATGAGCGGAAGTAATGATATGCTCCACAAATGAGCTGTTGACTCTTCTAAGTTCTCCTTTCTACACTCATGCCAGTACGTTTCCGTGAACACGTCTAGATAATGTCCTACTCGTACGGCTATGTACTTGTCTTGACAAGAGCAGGAGAACTGGTAAATGTACACTGAAGTTGATCACAGTGAGATCGTGTCTTTGACGTTTTGGTGAATTAAAAGTATACGTGGAGGATGTGAGGCGTAGAGATGCATCAATGGGCGTTATTCGAACTGTTCTAGGCAGACGGCTTCGGAGAACTCCAATAATTGTATCTTTCTTGAATTTCAGATCTACAATTAGTTGTTTCCTCAGTACATCTGGGTTACTTAAATTATCCGTCTTTATCTTTGGATGTTTGTTGATGAAGGAGGTTGGATAACCATTTCTGATTAGAGTTTTTCTGAAGAAGTATTTCAATTCCTTATTCATTGTGTCTTTAGTACATATATAGTAGATCCTCACCTTAAAAGAGGTGATGAGTTTTCATTTTCTTCTCATCAGGATAAAACTTTGATATATATATTAAAGGTTGAAATCTGATTTACAGTAGAATTTGAACCTCTGACTGGCAGGCAGCTGTGAATCACAGAAACACACACGCATATAAATGCTTATCATGTAGTAAATATTAGAGAGCACACACGATTAGCCTAATGGTTTGGTCAACTCCAAAAGACAGAGTAAACACATAAGTTCAAAACACTTAGAACTTACATTGTCTTTATGTGTTATAGAG